TAATCCATGATATTGCATGAAAATGTGTTATATTAAACTCGTCCTATAGTCACTCTATGGAGTCATGTAACAGAAGTAATTAAAATTACTGATCTGAATAAATTCAAACTTTCATCTCCTAGGTTTAATTTTGGCTTCCGAGAACACTGGAACAGGCTGCATGTATGTCTCATAAAAGGCACCATCATAGTAACTTTAATTAGATAGGAAGCTGCTTATTTGGAAGTTGTTTTATTTGCTGACTTTCAGGGCCGGAGCTAGATGGGGGGCCAGGGGTGGCCATGGCCACCCTTAGCCAATCATTGTCCACCCCTGTGGCCACGCCTACCATTTTTTCCCTATAATACAGACCGTGGCAGCAGAAATACTCTCAAGTGGAATATTCAAAACATTTAAATTTTTATTATATTAACAATTACTTGACAACAAAAACACTGTGGTTATTTATGCACAACAATATACTAACATTAAAGATGATAACTACAGAATTCATGCTCTTTTCAGAACTAGACTTGGTTATATGGAGTAAAGAGAAAAGTATGTGTCTCTGCAAGTCATCTAGGAGTCTTCTGTGAAATCATTAATAAATAACTTATTTCAATAAAAACTTATTAAATAATCAATTTTTGTAGATATTAGCAGTTGTAAACATAAATTTTATGCAGAGTGATTATTGATAAAAGTAGGTAAATAATGACAATGGAAAAGATTTTCGCCCCAGAACTCAAACCTGACAGAATTTGATTCGTTATACAATTTATCTAGAAAGCACGGATGTTGAAATATATGCGTCTATTTGTTACAAAGGCTGTAGGAAATTACAGTTTGTCTTCATTTAGAAAATATGGATGTTGTGCTTGTTCATTTTCCTGTTGGAAGAGTGTAGCTTGACCCTGAGGTTCTGGTGCTGATCCACTTTCGACCACCCATCACTCTACATTGGTTACTGCCTGGCCACCCTTATTAATATTTTCTGGCTACGCCTCTGCTGACATTCAGGACATGGACAAGTTTTCTTGGAATAAAGTTTTATAATAATGTAAGGGTCTACAGCCAGATGTACCAATAAAGGCAGACGTGTTTTATTATGAAGTAAAACATGTTTTGTTGCATAATATTTTATATAAAGAATAAAAAATAAAAAATATGAATTCTGAAATGCGCTTTCTCTTAATAAAAGCAATCCTTTTTTAAATGCGGAACCCTTGTCTTGTTGTGTTTAATAGCGGTTGGCAAACAACTTTTCGGTGCATTACCGCCACCAACTGGTGAGGAGTGTAGATCAGAATGGCCCTATTCATAAAGATACTTATATTTATTTATCTATATCTATAATATTACTTTACAAATACGAAATCCTACTAATTATTTCTGTTATTATTAAATATTTAAAAAAATATTGATAACATGTTTTGACTTTTTCAGCTGAATATCTATCAAATTAAATGTAACTTTCTCCTTATTTAGGTCTCTGACCAAATTCTTTTCTTCTTCATACTTCTTACAATAAATCACTACATGTTCTACTGTTTTGTCTTGTCCACAACATTCATATTTTTCTGACAAATGATTCCCTATTTTGCATAGTCTATTATTTAATCCTGTATGTCCAAATCTAAGTCTTGAAATAACTGTTTTTGCTCTTCTGCTTCCTTCTGCTCTCCTCATCCATTGTTTTTGCAACCTTTCCTTCATCCTTTGTTTAATGATACTTTTAATTTCTGTCTGACTTAAGTTAATTATCATACCAATGGCTTTAATTTTTGATGCTTCCTTAGCAATCTTATCTGCAATTTCATTTCCTTTAATCCCTATATGTCCTGCCACCCAAATAAATATAACACTAATACTCATCATTTGAACTTGATACAAAACTTGCTGTATTTAAATTAACATGTCTGATCTACTTTCGGAAAAATCATTTTGTATACTGGTTAAAGGGGAACGCCGTTTTTTTTTTACGTCATCCACGCGGCGCTTCGTTTTTAAAAGATATAAATACTAGAAATATAACTGCGGATGTCTGGGGGACAATGATTCGCCTACATGTTATGAATGCTGGCGTACCATAAAGAATAAATTATGAATAGTTTAGTTTGTGCCTTCGAGTCATTGCCCATAGGAAGACGTTACCTGGATATAACCTAATGGAATATCTTCAGAACAGCTACAAATGACACAAAACTCATATGGGTGAGTAGAACATGATGGAATAATGTAAAATCAAGGGCCCAATGTAAAAAAAAAACGGAATTCCCCTTTAAAGCTGAAATCGAATCTGAACATACAAAATGCGGAACCTTTCTCGTTCAGCCCATGTTTCCGGCGCAGGCGGAGCCTGTCGGGGCTGCACCACTGATGTAACGTTCATTTCCTTTCAGAGCGGGGTCACTCACATGAGCCAGGAATCCGTATTTTGCCCGGTTTACTGAGCTCTAATTAACTGCGCAGTGAAATCTATAAAGAAACTATAATGTTACGAACTCTGTGTCGGAGAAGCGGAGCCATTTTACAGGTTAGTGACGCTTTTATCTCCTTTTAGCCGCGGCGACCAAACGTCATTCAGCGCGTAGACGTCAGTTAAAATTACATCAAATGTCCCTCTACCTCCAATAGATACAAAAATTTATATATTTTTTTTTTGTTTGGTTATTTTTAATGTCTTCTTTTACGTTCGGCTTTAAAATCCAATACAACATTTATTATTATTATTTTTGATTGATTTACTTTTATTACCAGACCACTAAGGAGACTTTTAACTAAGTAAACTTGTGGTAGTGATTCCCTTTATTCTTTGACAATTTCGTAATACTTTTTTATAACCAGATAGTTATGAGACGCTAACTTTCTAAAGCTTCATGCAGGAGCTTCCTTTAACAACGAGTTAGACCAGATATTTATATAATAGAATAGAAACTCCCTTTATTCTGATGTTTAAAGCAATAAAAAGATTATTGAAAAAAAATCTCACACAAATGTGGACCTTAGAAAAGTGTATAAGAATAACATAATAGTAAAGAGTAAAAAAAAACAAATAAAACACTGTACTATAAAGTGTTTTAACAATATAAAACTATGCACCTGGTGAATAAATGACCAATATCCAGCTATGGACATTTTTACATTAATGTATATTTGAAGAAAGCAGCAACATCAGAGATGTGCAAAATGACAGCAGCATGTTATTTAACTGACTAAAACAGAAACTGTGCAAAAACCAGCATGAATGTAACTATTTATTGAGGTTGTTGGTAACAGTGATGGTTATAAAGTCTTCCAGCTGCTGGGAGGAAGGATCTGTGATAATGCTCCCTGGTGCATTTAAGGTGCAGCAGTCTGTCACTGAAGGATTTACATACTCTGTGTTGAAATAAGAGTTTAGAGTTTGGTTGCAGTAACATAATTCATATTTCCTATTTTTTCTTAAATTTTAAAGGTTACATGTCACCTCATGTACATAGCATACATTGTGTTTTATTAGGTCAACCTTTCAGACGGTACGACTTGGTTTTGGTTTCCCTTCTTTATTCATTTATTTTCTTAACAGTGTCCTGTCTGGCAATTTGGCAATAAGAATAATTGTCTTGATGCCAAAAAGAGCCCAAAGGATTCACAAGTGGAGCAGTATGGCTATCGCCATAGTGTTCTGCTTTATTTATGCATATAAATAGCTTTATTATGATTATGCAGGGAGTTTTACAGATTGTATGGACACTGCAATGTTGGTAAAACAGGAAAGAAAAAGCAGAAAAAAAGGGAGAAAAGATGAAAGAAAGAGGAGATAAAACGGAGATAACGATAAAACATCTTCAGTCTGCTTCATCACCTGCAAAGAGATGGAAAAAGAACAGCTCAACCAACGGATATAGTATAAGAGATACAATAAAGTAACACCTTGATACTGTCGCTGAAGTATAAGTAGTATTATTTAATCTGACATGTATTCTGTGGTAGGTGAAGATAAGAATATGGGCTTTCTGTATGGAAGTGAATCTCTAAGTACCTGGAACCAAGCACCTGTAGGTATTTGTGAGAGTGCAATTGTGCATGTAAAGTTTATCCAAAGGAAAAATGCTCAATAGTGGTTGTGAAGAGCCAAAGTCGCGTCCCTCCACATATTTTTTGTTAAAGCTAATTGGGTTGATAATATCATGCATCACTAGTTAATTTAAAACTACGTGTCTGTCTGACAATGTTTAACAAAACCTTAAAAGTGCAAAATATTTCAAGCTTATCATGCCAGTTGATTAGATTAGACCCAAATAAAGATAATATCATTAAATAGTTGTAACATTTCTTTTTTTATTTGTTAGGATGGACATTAATGAATCGAGTGTTTGTTTGATTGTAAAAATTATTTCTCTGATGTGACTTTATCCTTCAAAGCAGCTTAAATGTATGAATCCAAAATAAAAATATTTGTGTATTAATTCCTAAATATATTATATTATGAGTTGGTATTCATAAGTGAAACAGACGTCAGCATGGATGAAAAATAAATGTGTTTCCTTTATCTAGTTAAACAACTTAAGTGCATAATATCTACCATCGTTGTTTTGATAAGAAGTAAAACTGTCATATATTCATAAAAGTCCATCGATTCAGTAAAGATAGGAATGTAAAAGGGTTTAAATTGTAGTTTTTAGTAAATAAGCTTTCATTATTATCGTTACAATAAAAGAAAAAAACTGAACTTTAAACCTGAAAGAATTGATACACTGTGCTGACCTACATGGTTATGATTCATGTTTCTTTTTTTTAAAGGCTCTAAAATGTGAAATGAGATCAGGAAGGGAAGAAATGGCCATGTGTGGGTAGGAAAAAGAGGACAGCTAGTGGTTAATGGAGCCAGCGCCATGGCAACCGGCCGGCAAAGAAGAGTAACAACCAGAGACAGGCCAGACTAGATGATGAACGGGGAGATTAAGCAAAAATGAAAGGAAATGCAATAATATTCTAACATTTACCAAAAAAAAAGGTCAGTTTGACTGATCTGAGCAGCACTGAGCACAATAATCCAGATTGGGATTAAAGTAACCGTTATCTGCTGTGATAAACTTCTGTGAACGATCCCACCTTTGATGATAATTCGGGTTTTATTTGTGTTTTTCTGCAGCAAACTCAGCGGTCGGCGCCGAGGCTCTGGGTCACGCCGGCTCAGCAGCGCTGGGCCTCCAGTCTGCCCATGAACACGGTGGTTCTGTTTGTGCCCCAGCAGGAAGCCTGGGTGGTGGAGAGGATGGGTCGCTACCACCGGATCTTAGAGCCCGTACGATCCGCCGATTCAACACTTCCTCTATGCTCACATCTAAACATGGAGATTAGAATCTGTAAACGGCTCCGATGCAGACCGGAAAAGTCTGGAGTCGTTTTTTTTTTAGGACGGACAAATGTTTAAACTTCCAGATTATCCTCCCTCTTTCTCTAAATGTTGTTCCTCTTTCCTTCTTTTCCTAATCTCTCGTTCCTCACCTCCTTTCTTCCTTGTCCTCCTAATCTTCCTTCATACTTGCTCTCTTTCCTTTTCTCCTGACGTTTGTCCTTTTTGTGTCCTTCCTTCTGAAATTCGTTGCTTCCTTTTTCCATTCCATCCATCCTTTCCTACTTCAGCTGTCTCCTCCTTACCTCCTTCCTTCCTACATCTGACATTCTCACATATTGTCCTACCTCTCTTCCTTCTTTGTGTCCTTCCACTCACTTATCCATCCTCTCCCTTCCTAATCTTTGTCCCTCTTCCCTACTTTTTCACCTGTTGCTTCTTACCGCCTCTTTGTTGTCTAGTTTTTTTCCTTCCTCATGTCCTTTCATCCTTCCCTGTGTTCTTCTAGTTCTTCCTTCCTTCTCTCCATTCCTAATGTCCTTCTTTTTCCAATTTCATTTTGTGTCCCTCCTTTCTTCTTGGTTTCCTTCCTTTCCTCCTCTGAGAATATTCTTCCCTCCTTACCTTAAGTCCTTAAGTTCTGTGAGTGTGAGGCTTAGAAGGAAGGATCCTTTGTCTTCCTTCTGTTCTTTGTCTTCTACTTTTCCCTTCATGCTCTTGTTTTTGATCCTCCATCTTTCCTTCACTCTGTCAGTCAAACATTCATGGTGAACTTCATATCTGGTGCTTTAAAATGAACTCAGAGGATGAAGAACCCTGGAAGGTTGAATCTGTCACATTTTTCTGAAGGAAAAATGTGACAGATGCTGAGTTTTACTCACTGTTGTCTCTGTGTAGAAAGTCCTGACCATATAGCCACGCCTCCAACCCTGGTGGGCTGTTGGATCTTAGAGGCTCTGAACACTGGAACCAAGCAAACTCCTCTTTTTTTTTTTTTTTTTTGCACCTTCAGGGTTTAAACTTCCTCATCCCGCTTCTGGACAGAGTTCGCTACGTTCAGAGCCTGAAGGAGATTGTGATTGACGTCCCAGAGCAGTCGGCTGTATCTCTAGGTGAGGAACCTGTACGTTTTAAAGGCACCAGTCTTTTTCTCCGAGGATTTCTGTCTCTTCCTTAAGTGGCCCAATTAGATTTTGATATAAATTCATCTAATTATGTTTGAATCTTTGATTTTCCCAGATAATGTGACGCTCCAGATTGATGGGGTGCTCTACTTAAGGATTCTAGACCCTTTTAAGGTATGGTAGCTGACTATTAAAGACCTTTTTTAATTAGATTTCTCATTCAGCAGTGCTTTTAAAGCTTCTCTTCTCCCTTTCTTCAGGCCAGCTACGGAGTGGAGGATCCGGAGTACGCAGTCACACAGTTGGCCCAGACCACCATGCGTTCTGAGTTGGGCAAACTCACTCTGGACAAGGTTTTCCGGGTACAGATGAAAAAGCTCCTGTGGTTCGTGCCTCTCTGTTTCTATGTGAAGATTTTTCTTCATGCGTCTGTTTGATCCAAAGGAAAGGGAGTCCCTGAACTCCAACATCGTCCACTCCATCAACCAGGCCTCGGATGAGTGGGGGATCCGCTGCCTGCGATATGAAATCAAAGACATACACGTCCCGCCTCGGGTCAAAGAATCCATGCAGATGCAGGTAGGGTTTGCAAAAAAATATCATTCTGGGCTTAAATCCATTATTTATACATTTTAGTCACTTTACTTCAACAATCATGTTAATAACAAGAATAAGTTGCACAAGTTTGGATTGATTTGGGGGTTTTTTTCACATCAGAATTTAACATACAGGCTCACATATTTACATACGGCCTCGCTGATCTTAGAGGCTGAATGTTTTGATTCTAAAACTCTCTGCATGGCCCACATACAGAGGCCCTAGTTCTGGATGCGGCTAACCCGGATTAGAATCCGGCCTGTGCTCCTTTGCCGCATGTCTCTCCCCCCGTCTTATACCCCTTTCCTGTCAGCCTACTTTCCACAGCGTATTTGCGGGTCATTAAAAGTCATTTAATTATAATTTTTTTTAAATTAAGGCCTGAATTTAGTAGGGATGCACGATATAATGGGCCCCCTATCGGTATCGGCCTTAAAACTGAATATCGGACATCGGCCACCCCACCGATATTTAACCCGATATTTGATCAGCTTCTGAGTTTCTAAAGTCTAGAAAAAAAAAGAAAAAAAAACTTCTTCTTCCTCAAAAACTTCTTTTTTACAGACTTAAAAACTTCTAAAGACGAGGGAAAAAATATTGATACATTAAAATATCCCAATATCTTCATATGCTGATATATTGCCATTTAAAAACACCATATCAATCTCTTACTAATGAAATATTGCTATATGTCATCGTTATGCTACGAAATCCCCCGAAAATTCACGAAATGTTGCCATATTTTTATATGTTGATATATTGACGCGGTATCGATCTATTTTACTAACAAAATCTCACAAGAATTTGCAAAATATCACGAGAGTTTGTAACAGAACGATGAAATTTCACGAGATTTTGAAAGTAAAATAGATCGATACCGCGTTTTAAAAATCTATTTGATATCAGCATATGAAAATATATTTGAGTATATTATTTTTCAAAGTGTCAGAAATGGATAACAAAACTGCTATTTTCAATGACTACTTATTTTTGTCCAACTTTAACATCGGTATCGGTTATCGGCTACATGAGTTTTAAATATCGGCCAAAATCCCAATATCGTGCATCCCTAGAATTTAGACTTGGAATTAGATTTATTTTGTCATTTTGTATACACGAGTCTAAACAAAAAGACATTTCATTTAAAACAGCTCTAGACAATTTCATTTGAAGCCTTTAAAACCGTAATAAATACATAAAAAATAGTACTATAAACATGACTGTATATTTACAGTTCTTTTAATTGGCATTATAATTCATTTAATGTGATTATTGTGGCATTTAAAACGCTATATTTAAAAAAAGAAGTTTACAAAAACAATTTGGTCAGAAATATTGCGATATATATTTGCACGAAACTGCTTCCGGTTGATCGTAAAGCCGTCCGTATGTTTGGAAAAGAAGCTGGAGGCGGAGAAAAAGCTAAAGAATGGGAAAATGCTAATTTCAACAAAAGTGGCTGGAAATTAAGGAATTTAAGATATGGCTGCAGCCTGTCGATGGTAAAGATGACGAAGGGTTTTGCTGTGTATATATGAGAGGCATGGGTACTTGTTGACTGCATTAAAATGATTTCTAAGAGCATTAAAAAGCATTAAATTGGAGTTTCTCATTCCTGTATGAACCCTGTTCCAATAACGAGCCACTAGTGCTGCAAAAACCTCAAAAATAAATCAACAGAATGATGTCTTGTTTCTACTCTGCTGGAAAGGAAAATTAACGTTAAAGTCCCAAATTATTCTTAGATTCAAGCTGAGGGGATGAAAACTTAGGTCTGAAAAAGAACCTAAATCTGGTTTATCTTTATAATAATCTACTAAAACAGCAGTAACTTGTGTTATTTGCGTGTTTAAGGTGGAAGCTGAGCGTAAAAAGAGAGCCACAGTCCTGGAGTCAGAAGGGATGAGAGAGGCCGCCATCAATGTGGCCGAAGGTCGGAAACAGGCTCAGATTCTGGCGTCAGAGGGAGAAAAGGCGGAGCAGATCAACCAAGCAGCTGGTACGTGTGCTTCCTCCCTGGTTCTGAGGTTTTTAGTGGTTGAAGGAAATATTGGTACGTCTGTAAATGGGTTTTTTGTTTTTCCTTCAGGTGAAGCTCAAGCAGTCTTAGCCAAAGCTGAGGCCAAAGCTAAGGCCATCCGTCTGCTGTCTGCTGCTCTGGCTGAGAACGTGAGTGGGCTCCGTTTCTCTCTGTGGACCTTTTTATTGTTATCTACATTCTCAAAGTTAGAACTTCATTTAAACGTGATAGCCACACATTTCTTTTGTGTTTTTTTTGTTTGTTTTTTCTGACATGATTCTGAGAAATACAGTATAGAGAAACCATTTTCAGCTCTAAAGGTGCATTCAGACTGAAAGTGGTTTCCTCAATGAGAGCGGCGGATTTATACATACCCATTTCCCACTGGCCGAAAAATCAGTTTAAACTCTGGAACGATCGGCATTTACAGGGTTCCTTAAAAAGTCTTAAAAGGCATTGAATTGTTCAAAATAAAACTAAGGCCTTAATTGGTATTAAAATGTCTTAAATCAGTCTTTTGTAGGTCTTATTTTTTAAAACATCATAAATAGGATTATTTTTATTACAATTTATTTTTGTAATCTAAATGAAACATTAAAACTGAAAACACGGTTTAAATGTTTTTAAATTGATCATTGTAATGTAACTATTGGAAAGGCAGTGGGTAGAAACACTGAGAGGCGCTTATATGTAATGAGGTTTTAGGCGACCTCTAGTGGAGAAACATTGATAAGTGCACCTTTCAGTTCATATTTGAATTAGTCTGACACTAAGCTAGTAAAAAGCTAAGTAAAAATAGGACTCCCTTAAAAACAGATAACAGGATTATCCTGGTTAAATAAAAGAATGAAATAAAAAGTTTGCTGCACATTTATAATGAGAATAAAATTGTTATTTGTGTTTTTATCTGCCTATATAAACAGAATGGAAACGCAGCAGCGTCCCTTAGTGTGGCTGAACAGTACGTCTCTGCATTCTCCAACCTGGCAAAGCAGACCAACACCGTCCTTCTGCCCTCGAACACCGGTGACATCTCAGGAATGGTCACACAGGTTCGTATCAGCCGCCGCCTGCAGCATCGCCCGTCGCTGTAACACCAGTGGTAACCAAAAGTGTTTGTTCTGTCGTATTCAGGCCATGACCATTTACAGCACACTGGCCAAGACTGCTTCACCATCATCAGCAGCGCCGCCGCCGCCGGAGAAGAAGGATGATCTTCCAGACTATTTGGCGTCCCCTGAAGAGCAGAGGACTCAGTGAATGAACTCAGGATGTGAAATGAAGCAGGAAATGATGAAGCGGTCGAGGCTCTGTTGGCCGAGCGGTTCACTCAAACCTTCTCCTGGCTGGACTCAAAGGAGAACGTGCAGACTGTGCGAAGTCGTCCGTCTTTCCCTCGGAGTACGAAAGAAAATCGCATCTGTTAGAGGATCCTCACCGACTGTCTAAGTGAACACATCAGCCTGCAGGCCAGATTTCTGCAGCACTGACCGAAATGTTGGCCCATCTGGAAATGAAATAAAGCTACTTTTACTTTGTACAACCTCCTTTAAAACTATTGGCACCCTTAATAAAGATCATTAAAACCCTTTGAACTTATATATTTTACCCTTTTTTGCAGTAAGATCATCTTGGCTCAATAACCATGAGCTTAAATTACATTTTATTTTCTGTCATCCTTACTGTTGTGGTGGGAAAATAAACTTTATTCCTCATAGCTTCCAGTTTTTACTTCTTTTCATTCGTAAATACGGTAAATACTTTCCAACATTTGGAGACTGGCAATAAATGCTTGAATGGCTTGTTTTCTTATTTTTCCCAGTTTGAAGAGCTGTTTCTAAATGAAAAAGGGCCAACGTGTTGATCAATTTTAAAAACATTTTGCATTTATTTAATAACACTAAGGCGAACCAGTGCGTAAGGAATAACCAACAAACATGGGATTTTTTAATTTATTACAGATCAAATAGTGCTGTTTGTATCAGAACTGCTACATGCTCTATGAAAACACATTTGTTTTACCGGTATTTATTTTTTTTTTTACAAATTTGTTGTCTCCAAAGTATTCATACTCCATGAGAACCGGATTGGAGTTGCCCTCCACCTTCCTTAAATCAAGGTAAATTGGTGTTTTACAGCTCAAATTGTTGTCTTACAGTTATAGAAAATAATTATATAATAATAAGGTCAAAGCGGTTGAACTCTTACCCCTAGTTTTAAAACTGCAAAGCACAAACCATAATGTTTGCTGCACAATCCAGCAGACTTAGCTAAATAGATTGACACCAATACTGGACCTCTGGGAGCTTTCATTAATACCTTCAAAATGGTAGTGGCATATATAAATTTTTTTGCAGCAGAAATGTAGCATAGATGTATCAGATGCCATTTTTAAAAACAAAGACCTATGACCCCGTGGAATGAGCTATCTTCTATGGAGCAGTGGCTGAGCACTGGAAAAACAATCTAGAAATAAGTAAAAATGTCTTAGATTAATGTATTTACCCTTAATTTCAGTAGGTAAATGAGATAGTTTGCCACAGGAATGAGTATTTTTACTCTTATAATAAGATGATTATATAAAATGTACTTGAAATAAGAGAATGCATTTGTGTTTTCTTATTTTAAGTGTATTTTAAGTGTCTGGTTCCGTTGGCAAAATGTTTCTTTTACCTCCTCAATCCGAGAACAAATGCACCTATTTTCAGAGATGGCAAAAGTACTCACTTTCCGTACTTGAGTAAAAGTACAGATA